ACTATTTCATGGTCAGGGCAGCTAGGGTCTGGAACTAACTTCCAAGGGAGGTGGTGCAGGCTCCTACCCTGTGGGGTTTTTAAGAAGAGGTTAGATGAACACCTTGCTGGGGTTGTTTGACCCCAGTACTCTTTCCTGCCATGGCAGGGGGTTGGACTAGATGATCTGCTCAGGTCCCTTCCGGCCCTAGAAACTACGAAACACCTAAAAGCAGTAACACTGACTAGAGACTATTTTCAAATGCTCAGACAATCACAATACATTTTTATCCTATACTCTTTCAGTTAAATTATGTAGTCTTAGTTACTTCCAGCATTCTTTCCACTATTGTGTTATTTTTAAGTTGACAGTGTCACTTTAAGCATCATCCTTTAGGAAACAGGGAACATATGAAGAGTAAATGGCAGATGAAGAGTAAATTTGATTAGGATTCAGTTTTAACATATGGCATTTCAATTATAGTAAGGGAACATTCATTTAGAAAAACTAGATCTAATTTTACTTTTTGGTAAAGTTCTGCGAACTCAGTTAAATCTGAAGGTGTTCATGGATGAAGAAGAGCAGAAGTCGATTAAACAGGAACACACTGTGCAATAACACATTTCCTTCATTCATATTCAAGCTATGCTCCAAGGGCAGCCATTCTTTTTGATGACTGTGTCACAGGGCACTTAGGTGCCTGCTCCTAGAAGAGCAGAAACTGCCTGGGGAGAGCCCAAAGAGCCAGACAGGAGCGCAGATGCAGGTTGCCATGGTAGCTAGCTAATGAAGAAATTGGCCTGCACCTGGTCAGGTGGCCGGAAGCGAAAGGCCCCTGGGCCCATATAAACCCCAGGACAGGGACTAGGGAGTTCAGGTCTCTGCTGGTGGCCGAGGGAGAAGAAGCCCTCCTAGAGCAAGTGAAGGGAAGAGGCCTAAGTTCTGCTTTGGGTAATGTAAAGGGGCCGCGCACACCTTATGTGGTTTGTGTTATGTTATAGCTCAGGGGCTTATGTTTGGTTGCTGTTTTATAAAACCGGTAGCTTGGGTGAGGATATTTAGGGAAGGAGGCGGTCTCATTGGGGGTCCACTTTAGAGTGGGGACCCCGGTGCCAGCAAGGGAGCAGAGAGAAGACAAGGGAGCCAATTCATAGCAAGGCCCATCAATGCTGTCTGTGAGGCTTGGGGCATGGGAAAAGGGGCAGTTGGAGCCACACATAGGCTGGGGTGTCCCTGGGACATCTAGTTTGAAACGGGACCCACAAGGGGTCCCAAACCCACGGGGTTCAAGGAAATCCATCACCACTGTGGCCAACAGAATGTGAAGGCAGCCTCCCTATATTACAAAATAGATCAAGATGTGGTGGACGAGAATAGAGGGTGCCCATCAGGCTGAATCGGTATGGTCGAGGGGCCTTAGGAGACCACAGCCATCCTTAGGGACCCCATCCCGTGAAAGACAGTAGAATCCTTACCTAGCTTATAGTAATGGAATGTGCAAGGTTTATGTATGCAGGGTACTTGGGGTGGGGGAGAATGGGAGGGCACAGAATTTACAGCTCAGGACTGATGCATATATTTTTTCCACTAAGTAGGAACAATCCGTGCTGGTGTACCTGGTGTTACTGGAGTAATCCCAAATGGAGACATCCAGTTGGCTGCGAACCCAGGTCTTCGAGGGCTCCTTTTGAAGTTTCTGCTGGTACAATTCCACTACCAGATCTTCCACATTCCGGAGCTCAAACTTGTTCTCAATGCCTATCATTCAGAGAATGTAGTCAAGAGGTGTATCAGCAGATTGTACAATAATGGTAGCATAAAACGGACATTACTAAAAGATGAAGAATCCTTGAAATAGTTAATGCCTTACCCGTTTTCTTAGCCATGTGCTTCAGACACCAGTTAACTCTGTGCCAATCATTAGACTAGAAGGAAAGACGTATCAGTAGTATATACAGAATACAGTATACCAAGGCCTCCCCATCCTATTCCCATCCTTAACACACCCTTTTCCACTAATTTCATTCTTGCATAATAGACAGTTTTACAATTGTGGTAGCTGAGCCAGAAAGACAACCCCAGTTCCATGCCAGCCTTTCATTTATCCTGGAGACATCTTGGACTCCAGGCTTATTTTAGAAGTTGAGCTGGTAATACAGATAAACTGGCCAAGTGCTATCGGATATTAGCTTACATGGGTTTTCCCATAACTTGGTATTAAAAGCTCTATACCATCTACACTTTTTCCTACCGACATGAATGGATACATATAGTAATACTTAAACCATTTTCACAGCTAGCATAGATACTGACAGCCAACATTAGCAGCCATTAAATAAAAATGTCATCCACCACAGTTAAAAGCCCTGTACAAAACAAAGACTTCACTATCATTTTGAAGCTTCTCAGAAACCCACCACTGGCTTTGCTTGGTTCGCAGCTCAGCAAAAAAGTGAGCAGAAGAAAGCAAAAAACTAACTCAAGAACAGAATTATCCTGAAAGGTTATTTTCCTCTAAGAGGTGCAAGTACAAGAAAATAGTTACTCTGCATTGGAACTAGGAAAGTGAAATCTTGAAAAACTGTAATGGAGCAAAGAATAGATGCTCCCATTCTTATGCTACTCATTAGATTTTTACTAGGAAACACTCCTCTTAGTCATCAAATAAAAGTCTGATTAAGAATCTTGCTTTGAACTAATACTATAGGACTTCTAGAAAAATGCTCCAAGTCTGGAGACACTAGATCATACCTTACAAAACACTGGTGGCCAGCTACCCCTGTTTGGCTGGACAAATTTGTAGAGTTCATGCAATACAAGAGGATAAGCAGCATTTGAGAGTTCAAAGCCAGAAACAGGAATTTTATGAGTGGCATCACCTAATGGAGGTAAAGAGGAAACAAGTGAGAATAGAATGCAAACTCTGGATTTATTTATTTATTTTTTTTTAAGATTTGCTACCTCAAGTCCCACCTAGTATCCAAAAGGTAAAACCAATTAGTTTCAGACACTCAGAATCTGACCTTCAACAAGAACCCTCTTATTTTCCCAAAACAGTGATGCTTTGGGACTGTGAGCTTATTCTGCCTTTAAAGATCAATTATATAAATATTTGAAGAAGGAAGATCCTAATTGTTAAACTTCCTGTTCTTCAACACAACAGGAAACAACTATGAACACGCACACTAGTCAAAGAGAGGAGGGGAAGAAAAAAAAAAGTGAAACAGGCCATGTGAAAACAGCAGGGCCAACTGACAGTAGTAACATTTAGCAATGCTGCTAAACATACTGATATTTACTTATTTATTATTTGTATTTATAGAACAAAAAAGGTACAAAACTCACAAAGTCTGAGGGTTCTCAATCTGACTTGAGGATACACTTTTTGATGGAGAGCCACCACTAGTAGGATTAGCCAATTGGATACAAGCCCTCAGCACATTTGCAAGTGCTATTTGCTTTTTAAATCCTTTTCTTGTTCAGCAAATGGTTTAGGATTAAAAGTGGTCACTGGGACTGCGGTAGCGGGCCACAAATTGTAAACCCATGTGGGAAATCCTTTTTCTTAAGATTTTTACTCATTTTAGCACCACCTTCCAGCCTAGAGATTTTCACTGCCTTATTTTTATTACCAATTATATCACTATATGGACACATTTCAACTGTCACTGAAAGTCTGTAACCTCCAAGATGGACCTTAACAGCTGTGTAACACTGTACAAAAATAAGCCAGTTTATGACAAAGATCAAGCTAAATGGCATTTCAGGTAGAAGGGCAGCATATAAGCAGCTGTCCATGATTAACAGGAATGCAAATTTGAACAAAACATACTATCATTTGTGAAGAACTTAAGCATTCTTTAAAGGCCAGTTTTGGTTTTATTTTTTTTAAAAGGAAACAACAAACCAACCAACCAAAAAAAAAAAACAAAAGACAGATTCTAGTATATAAGAAGCTATGTGAAATCATGCAACTTTTCCTCTGTTGCTCCACTCCTTTTTAGAGTTAAATGCGGAGTTCCCAGGGCAAACATCATAGTAAGACAATTATTTATGACTGGTTTAGGCACAGCAGTGAGACACCAGATTTTGTCCATCCTCACATCCCATTACTTTCTTCCTGTAATACTCACTTGCAGCCTGGCAGTGATACCGAAAGCCACATGGTACCTCTTCTGCAAAAAAGCAGAAAGAGAAATATGCATTATCAAGCAAGCAGCAGATACAACTGTAAGCTATTAACTATACTTTACTATAGTTACTGTAGTCAGCCATCTTCTTTGTCCTTGTATAATTAAACATAAATATCAATTATCTATGCACATTTGGATAAACCCTGACTGCCACATTTTACAGGCTGTTGCATAACAGTACATGGGTCCCTATCAACTGCACAGCACCATTAATCCCAATGCACAAGATTGTGCAAAATCCTAGCTACACAGCAATAATTTCTTCTAAAGTACTTCACCCGCCAGGTTTTATTTTACTCTTCAAATCTTCAGTCAGTTCTGATGACAAGGGTCATTTTCTACACATACAAACACAGGACAGTACTTGTTCAGGCAGAATACCTAACCTGGAAATAAGAAATTGCCTTTATTTTGGAAAGCTGAATGGGTCTTACAAGAATTGGATTTAGCAAGTCTCCCTCCTGCTCCCAAATAACATGACAAGTTTCCACCCACCTGCTCCTTATTACTCACCAGACTCTACGAAGCAATGGAAGTCAGCAATTATACCATCCTGCAGCGAGTATCTGACGCAACCAATCTCACAAGGGAGGAAGCGCTGCTCACAGTGAGAGGGCAGTTCTCCATGGCTGAGAATGTTCAGGAAATAAAAACTGTTCCCAAGCACAGCTGAAAGAAGAAGTTACTTTCAGAATTGCTAAAGGGGAGAGCCAGCCTTCCTCTACCTAGTTGGTCCCAGTCAAGAACCAGCGTCCCATTTTACCGGGACAAAAGCTACTAAAACGGACAGAACAACAGTTAGATGAAAGATGCACATAGGAAGAAAGATATATGACAAGATAACAGCAAGACAATACTTCTGCAAAAGTTAAGGCACTGGCAGCCCAATTCATCTACTTAACTAATTCCAGATATTGCTCTTTTGTAGATATCAGGGAATATTTATGAAAAACCAGCAGCGGCCTAAAAGCCACCACTGTCCTCCAAATGACCCTTACTTCCCCCATCATCAGTATGGAGGGACAAGAAACATAGATACTAAAATATTTCCAAGTAATAGGTTCCAAGAATACTAGATAACTGGCTCCTCAAACAAGCCCAGCTTCCACAGTCTAACAGCAAAAAGCAAAAAAAGGCTGACCAGAGCCATTCCTTCCAGTATGGAAAGGATGGATTATAATTTCCACTTCCCTCACCATCTCTCCCCTTCCTGTTTCCTCTTAAAGAGGTTTGCTTGGTGGTTGCACAAGTTATACACACCGATTTGTTGGTTGACTGTTTAGAGTAGGGGAAACCTCATCAACCTCCCCTAGGCCAGATGCAGACCCACCTTTGGCAGCGAAGCAAGTGATGTCAGTGAGTTATGAAGGCAACTCAGCTGTCGCTTAACTACCACCACAGAAACAGCTCCAGTGTGGCTCCACACACCAGTATTTTATGGTAGCCTCACCCCTACTTGCCCTGCCCTTGAATTCCTGGCCCCTCCAGGAGCTCAATGGGCTGAAGTGGCTCCTTGACCCAGATCTGGAAAGCAATTGACATCCCTTGTTTAAAACATCTTGCAAGTATTATTATGTATTAACATTTTTCATAGGCAAGCTCATACTACAGAGGTAGTGCTCTGAAACTCACCTCAGAGTAAAAGCATGTTGTAAAAGCTAACAAACAATCTTTGGAAACCAACATTTCTGTACCTAATGAGGTGCTGGCCAACTAAAAGTGACATTGATCCTTGCTACTTAGTATTTGCATAATTCTAGGCTCATAAGTTTATCACCCAATAACCCTGTCCTCACCTCCTACACCTAATATAAAGCACAGAGACTGTACGTGGGGCAGCTCAGCAGTCCCCATGCTATGATCTACCCAGACACCCACACTGATCTAGAAGTCCATATAGCTTACTCCTTAAAGGACTTCTGAGCAGGAGGCAGGCTTAGTCAGCACAGAGTCCACCCCACTCTAAACCAGACTTTGATATCATTCCTGCAGTGCTGGCACTGGCTGCAAGCATACCAACCCAGCCCAGCAACTCTGTAACTCCTTCCTCATTAGAGGCTAGCCAGTCCATGCCACCACACATGCTCCTGCTTGAGACCCTTTCCAGGGTACTTCTCTCCCTGCATACATCCTCCCCCCACACGAAAAAGTGTGCACAGAAGTGGACCTTTTTAACCCTATGATGGATTCAGAAGAAAGGTTGCAGGAGCAGGGACCACCATATAAATGTGGGGTTTCATCTCCTTCATGATGTGTAACCAGCAGAGGTGCTTGGTTACAAACTGAGGTACCTTGGCTAGGAGCTCAGACTCCTGTACTAGAGGGATCCCCACCTCCACCTCTGGTTGCACCTCCAAGGGCTCCCCAAACTCAGAGGGCCCTTTTTCAGGATAGTCCTGTGCTAGAGGGGTCCCACTCCCTTCCTTGGGCTGCATCTTCTCAATGGACTCCTGGGGTTGTCCCCCTGAACTCTTGACCTCTCATATCCCCATGAAGGCTGCCTGCTGCTGGACTAGGTGTTGGGGCCAGTGCTGGACTAGGTATTGGGGCCAGTGCTTGTCCACATTGTTCAAGGGAAGATGTGGCCCCTTTATGAGTTCCTCAAAGCCTTCCCAATCTTGGCTGAAGACCACAAGGTAGGTTAAGGAGTCTGCCAGGCCTACCAAGCTCAGCTTTGTGAGCCTTTCCACTGACAACAGCACCCAGGCCCGGGATAGGGTTTTACATCCTCATGAATGCCCTTGGGGTCCAGGAGTAGGGATTTTCTAATAATTGCTTAAGTACATCCCAAATTCACCAACGCTATTCACTTAGTGCCTTTTACCGTGACTGCAACCATCAGTTTTGCAGACTGGAAGGCCTGAGCCCATGTTTCTGCCACCCATATTTGAGATCCAGATCTACTCCGTGTGTGTGGGCAATCTTGAGGCAGCCACAGGTGAAACCAGCTTCATGCACCTTATGACTAGAAGGGGAGTTTCCCTGGGTGTGAGGTCCCCTGCTTCCTGTCCCTTTTGGTGCTGGCTGGAGTCAAATCTTCTAGTTCAGGAAAATGGGCTCGGGGTCCCCATCCTAGGCCAGTGGATGCCCCAGTCTCCAGGGTTGAGGGTTCCTTGCCCTGACTGGAAATGCGGCTCCAGTTGGCACTCCAAGTACTCTGCTTTGTCTGGCTGCCTGCCCTTGGGGCTAGTCTTGGGCCTCAATATGTTCAGGTCTTCTTGGAAGTAGGCCCTCCAGAGGGTTCTGCTGCCACGTATTGCTCCATCAAGCCTTTGCCACCACCTTGGGCTGATACCACAATACCCAGCTTCTACCCCCAGGGGGTAGTATTCAGATGAACGTTCAGGAATTACCTCCTCCACCTGCTTCCCCATCCTATCATCCAGTTTGGATCAGCACCAGCTCCAGTCCCTCAGCTGCTGGGCAAGAAGGCAGGGTCAGCCTCAAGGTAGGTAGCACTCTGTGAAAGCACTATCTGAAGGTCTCCTCTGAAATGTTAAGGATGTCCAGCACGATTGCTTTCACTTCCTAGTAATTCACAAACCATTTCAGCAACAAGATCCAATTAGGTCAGCAGGGCTGTCTCTGATAGGTACAGAGACAAGATCACTGTCCATTGCTTTGGAGGCTACTGTTTGGCAGCTGTAACTCTCAAATATCTCCAATATACTTTGGGGTCATCAGTTGGTCCCATCTTGGTCAGCTGGATGGGAATGTTCTGACCTGTAGCCAGCTAGAGGGACACTGTTGGTCCAAGTGGTTGCTATAAGACCCCAGTCTTCTGCAGTAGCTGTTGCTGCTGGTTTTGAACCACTAGGTCCTTAGTTACTTTCCGCTGTTGGACAGTCATCTATTCCAGAAGCATTTTCATCTTTTCATATCCATGGTTTGAGGGTTGGGAAGGGCATAATGGGACACATTGTCTGCGATTTGTAGCAGGGGTTAGGCTCACTAGATTGCCCACATTCTCCAAAAAAACGGTAATGAGCCGCCTGGTACCTGTGTTATAGGCTACCTGGCACCTGCATTGACAAGGGTGATGTGCAAGGGGTGTACACAGGTGCACACGCACCCTGAGCATGGTGGTGAATAACCTGCAAAAAGGCGCTGCCGACACTGTCAGCAGTGCCTACGGGTGGTTGCCGCTCACCACCCCACCAGCGGCATCTGTGGGTGGTCCACAGTTCTGTGCTCACCACCACTGCGCTCCTGCCGCTGTGTCCCCCCAGCCGCCAGGGCCATGCGCAGTTCACGTACACTGACCTGAGAATCAAAATGGGTTACTTCTCAGGGGATGCTTGACCAGGAGCCAGGCTTAGGCTCAGTGCAAGGAGGACTCGGTACTGACCAACTCCTATCTTTTATACCACTCCTGCAGGCCTGGCATTGGCTGCAAGCACACCAGGGCAGGCCCAAACCAGCCCAGTAACTTTAACCCCTTCCTCACCAGGGGCTAACCAGTCCAAGCCACCAGATACAAGTCTAGTTCAGGCCCTGTATGCCCCCAGTGAAATAGCATTTCTATATCATTTCTACTACCATGAAATAGTTTCTAATCCTTTCAAACCTTAAAGGCCATATTCCATCCTCAATACATGCATACGGATCCTATCAAGTTTAGTGGGAGTTATGGCAAAGAACAGAATTTGACCCGAAGCATTGTGAATTACACTTATATCACAAAGGACATTTATTATGACAGAGCAATGACAATCCTAATTTCTACCAGGTCTGGCTTTTGCCAGCATATATCTAATAGATTTGAATATTTGTTTTTTCCCCCATTTTCTCCAGCTAAGCCTGAAAAGCAGCTTGTAAATTATTTGTATAATGAACAAGTTTACGATAAAAATCACATTGCTTTTGAGTTACTCTACCTTGATCATTCCTCCCCGGAAGATTAGTGGCATTTGGAAGAGTTGGGCTTTTCTGTATTCGGATGGGCAGGTGTGCAGGAATCGGAGAAGTCTGACTGGACAGCTGGAGACAAGAAAGGTAGTTGAATATACTACTAATTCTGCTCCTACCAAACCAGGAGAGGACCACCACATAGCTCAGGGCTATCCAAATGGCAGCCCGTGGGGGTTAATGTGGGCTCTTACTCAATTGCCACCCCCTGATTACTCTAGCTGCTGCTTCTGCAGCCAGGGTCTCTAAACACCCCCTTCCACCCTTAGCTTTTGCTTCCAGCTCTGGCCCTGGGAGGCACAGTTGCACAGCTCACACTACCAGGAGACCCTGGTGAAGTACAGTGAGAAAGCTGAGGTAGAAGGCTGCCATCCACCCACATTGCAGCTATCTGAGTCTGGAAGGGGTCACACCCCCTCTGGCCACAAGTGCTATGTGTATGTGTGAAGGAGGGAAGGGGCAGAGCTGTGCATATGTTACAGGGGGAGGTGGTATAGTCCAGGGGCCCATGGCTCACTCATAGCTACTTAGAATTTGGACAGCCCTGACACAGGCCTTGATTCACCCTGTATAAAAAGCATGAAACATGTCCTTGTAGCCCCTCTAAACCTTACTGTGTTCTGTAGTCTCAGTATGAACCTGTAGACAGAACAAACATGTTTTCTCTTCTTGCACAAAGGAATTCACCTTAGAAGTAATCAGTAAGTCTTAGAAGTTTGTCTATAGGTCTCTAAAGTACTGAAAAAGGCGAAAGACTGTATCCTTCATAAACTGTGCCTCTTCTGCTATGATCAGTGGCAATCCAGAAAGCTGTAGTTTGAAAAGAGAGTGCATTCTACCAATGGTAAGAAATTAGAGAAATTCTGTTTGCCCATTCCTTGATGAGACAACAAAAGCAATGAATTATATCAAACTCATATAGTATTTCTACAAATCACATTCCCCTTTTCTGCCATGTAAGAGACAGCTAGGAATTTTCACAGGATTAGGTCTGCTCTCACATTTGCAGTCTCTCCCAGTTAAGGAAGCATGACCTAGGGTCTCCAGTGCACTAATCTACTAATTTCTTCAAACCAGGACCATCCAGGACAGATACTTGGCTGCACTTAACTGCAGAATCACTAAAACATATTAGTATTAGAAAAAACAGCTATTACCAAGGAAAGACAGGCTTACATGCAAGATTTTAAGGGCATATTCACCTCATTGCAGGCATGCAATCTGCATGATACACTAGTAAATGCAACACTACTAGTAAGCAAACCACATGGAAGAAAGCAGTTTCTGCCTGAGCATTTAATTGCTCTTGCACAGAGAAATCTGCAATGCCATTTTAAAGTAAAAAAAGTTATAGGGCTTGGGAGCTTGAACCCAGTGGGCATGTAAGACACCAGAAAGCCACAATAAAAATATGCTACTTGACGATGCCAAGAGGAAAACAATTTTTTTTTTCCTGAAAAGGTAGAGGCACAAACTGTTAATCATTTCCTAGTTAACTGAGGTTATTGTGGCCATTTGCCAAGGTATCAACTTAACACTTACTCAAAGAGCAAAGCTCATCTTAAAAATCAAGTGAAGCTTCTATTAATACAAGTAATGGTTTCCATTTATTACTGCATATATAAACAGTGTAAATTGATAAAAGCCAAATTTGCCTCCACTAATCTGGTATTAAAAAAAGCTGAATTTTGGTTAAAATGGTGCAACTGTTTTACAACCACACAGTCCCTACAGCTCCCAGTCCAACTGCCTGTCACCTTCAGCCTCAAGTACTTTCACAGCAACTATTTTAACACTTCCTGTCACCATCACTGTTAGTCTGAGTGTAGTTTAGTTCCAAAGCCCTGGTAAAGTACACTGCTGTAAAAGCCTGGAACAATAAAATTCAGGCTCTCTTCCACTTCAGAACAAATGCATGGCGAAAGTAACTAGATAAAATAGTTTTGCACTGATGATTAGTTACAAACATTTCTGGGCTATGGAAAAAAAAGGAGCAAAGACTAATTGTGGCAGTAGTTTTGGTCTGTTTATTTTAAAAGATGTTAACAGACACCATTTAGGCTTTTGCAAGTTTACAGTGCAGTCCTCTACCACAAATGTGGAATGATCCTGGCTCCTATTCTGCTCTCCCCTCCTCCAGGATAGAAGCATGGAATTTGGGCGGACCAAAACTCTCTCATCATTTACCTGTTTTACTGATGCATCAGTGGATTTTGCCGATTTCCACTGACGAGCCATTTCCGCATATTTCTCCTTTTCATCTTCAGTCAGCAGCTTTGAGTAAAATTAATTGTTACATGAGTTAGTTCCTGCTAACAGGGTAACTGCATTTCACAAAGCAGAAAGTTCTTTGAATAGCAGCTCTCCACTAGAGGGGACAATACAGCATTGCTAATCAGAGGCTGGAGTGGGGTGTTACATCAGGCAAAATACACCTTTCTAATGGTACCAATATTTTTATTCTTTGGCTTTAATGGGACAGACATATAGGACTGTCATTCTAAGGAGAAAGAAACTCTAGAAACATAACTCGGGGAGGGCATTTTTTTGTTTATTTTTGTCTTTCATTTCGAACAGATTTGCGTTCCCGGGCCCACGTGGGGGTGGGGTGGGGGCTGGGCTGTGAGGTCGTTACCGGCCCAAGGGCCCGCGCCCGTCTGGGGGCCACACCCGCCCGGGCGCTTCGACTATAAGAGCCCCTTCCCCCTAGGGACCGCATGCGCTCACCGCCCAATCCTGGGAGCAGTAGGGGATGGCGTCAGCCACGCGCGCGACGGGCAGGCCGCGCCGCCGCAGCTCGGGCAGGCGGTGTAGCGCGAAGAAGTAGTAGGCGTTGCGGGAGCCCTTACGGTTCGGCATGGCCAGACGCGAAGCCACGAAAACAAGGCACGCAGAGCCTCGTTCTGGCTGTGCTTTAGGCGCCGCCTCCGATCAGCCTCGCCCCCTCGCGTCTCAAAGAGCCAATCGGCAGGCTTCCAGAACCGGCGCAGCCTTCCCTTTTATTGGCCATCGAGCGATGCGGCCCAAGAGGGAACATCCAATAGGAAGGGGACGGGGGAGGCTAGAGTGAGGAAACGCCTTAGCGCCCCAGGGTATGCCGGGACTTGTATTATTTCCGCCCTTCCCCTCAGCGACCGTCTGAGTCGAGCTTAGGCACCGCGTGCCGAGCGTGCCTACGGAAGCCGGGCTGCCTGCGGGCGCTTATCCCACTAGTGAGTGTCAGCGCGATGTCCGTCCCTCGTGCACCCTCCATCATGCTTGGAAGCTGAATGAGCTATGCCTGTTCAGCCTGGAGAAGGAAGACTGAGGGAGGGTCATGCTGCGTGGAGAGGCTGTGAAACCCCTCATCCATCCTTGAATTGCTTTTAAGAGCAGGGAGTCCAAGGACAACATGGGTGCCATGGGGGGGAGAACCAAAAAAGGGTCGGCAGGTCGGATGGTGGGTACAGGAAAGGGAGCAGGAAGAAGAGAGGCAGATCAGGCAGGGAGCAGAAAGCAGAGTGGCAGGTTGGATGGTGGGCACAGGGAAAGGAGCAGAAAAAAGAGGCAAATCAGGCAGGGATGTCGGGGAAATTGGCCAGCTACTGCGTAGCACCCATACACCAAAGGGTGTGCTCATACACCGAGGAGCACTGGCCATGTCCCGTCTCTGGGCTTGTTCCTAGCTGCGATCAATTAGGCAGAGAACGAGGGAGTGTCCGGTATGTGAGTTTATTGCTCTGCAGAGGGGTACTCAATGTCCAAAGACAAAGAGCTCCCCCAATCTGAGTTCGATAGTACTCTTTATGTTAACAGGTCATACATATGCAAATATAAGTATATATAGGTATAAGGCATATATGCGTGCGCATCTTTGGTGAATTTCCACAAGTCTGGGGTCTTTCTACGTGCTGTTGCTGGGTTACAGAATGCGGAACAGAGAAAGCTTAAGCCGGTTGAAGTTGGTTTGGTGTTCTCCTGACCAGCCTTCAAAAGAGAAGGCTGAGGGGGGATCTTGTGGCCTGTTATAAACTGGTTAGGGGGGATCAGCAGGCGCTGGGGGAGTCCCTGTTCCCCCGAGCGCCGCAAGGAGTGACCAGGAACAATGGTCACAAGCTGGCGGAGGGAAGGTTTAAGTTGGACATCAGGAGGTGCTACTTCACTGTCAGGGTGGCTAGGGTCTGGAACCAGCTTCCAAGTGAGGTGGTGCAGGCTCCCACGCTGAGGGTTTTTAAGAGGAGGTTGGATGACCACCTTACTGGGGTCGTTTGACCCCAGTGCTCTTTCCTGCCATGGCAGGGGGTCGGACTAGATGATCTGCTCAGGTCCCTTCCAACCCTAGAAACTATGAAACTATGAAGGGAGGGGTTTCAAGCTTCTGCTTTTAAAAGGTCGTCATCTGCGTCCCTTTTTTATTTATGGCTGTTTTTCTTACAGGGAGCACAGGGAGAGTGGCAGATCAGGCAGGGAGCACAAAGCAGAGCAGCAGGTTGGACAGGGAAGGGAGCAGAAAGCAGAGTGGAAACTTGGCTGGGAGCACAGGGAGGGGGCAGAAAGCAGAGCAGCAGAATGGGTGGGAAGCAGGCAGCAGAGCAGGCAGGGGAAGGGATCAGAGTGGCATCTGAGGAGGGTGCTGGGCTAATTTGTGGCAGACCCTTGGATGGGATGGTTCAGTCTCCTTGAGTGGTGGAAGGGTTGGACTAGACCTGCTGAGGTCCTTTCCCACCCTACTAGTCTTATGATTCTGTTATGGAAATAGCATATTTCCCCTCTACACCCATAACATAGAATTGAGCTTTACCCCTTCGAGACTATCCACTTACCGTTCACTGGCTTAAGCCTGGCCTGTGTAGTATGTCTCTGGTGGCAGTTAGTGCTAATGGCTGTCCTTCCCAACTGTACAAATCAGTCTGCTAGTGGTGCACGTGTACTTCAGCTATGCTCAGTATGCCTCATTTCAGTACTGTGCTGTGTAGATTGTGCCAGCATGGGACACAGGACTTCCTTGCACTGGGGATTGTCCACAGGCAGGTGGGATGCAAATATGATCTGTGGGTTAAACCAAGGTTGTTCAGCTTCTAAGTGGCTGGGGGCTGCGTGCCCTGTGGGCCACACCAGCAGGGGCCTCACGTTGTGTGGGCTGCACCAGAGCGAGCCCTAGGCCCCCAAGCTGCATGTCACGTAGATATGCCTTACCCACTGCGCCGTGTTCCCATGCAGGTACCCTCTGTTAGGGACTCCCTCCATTCCTAGCAGGGGTAGGTGAGTAACCCACAAGTCATTTTACATGCCAGGTAAAACCCAAGTGCCACTCTTTATTATGAGGAAAAATTAATAACACACAGAGAAATCATTACAACAAGCTTCTCAGCTGCAAGCGTGTTGGGCTGGAGGAAAGGCACTCCACACCCTATCTCCAGTTATTACCTGATAGGTCTCGGGAACCCCACCCTGCATCCAGGGTGGCAAGACTGCCTCCTTTATCGGGTCCTCAGCCTTGTCCTCCCCGAAGCAGTTCCGCTTGGGACCCGACTCTTCTCATCTTATGTACCTTCCCCCCCGCCACCCCTGGTATCTTCTCCAGGAGGGGGAGTTCACTTTTAGCCTTACTGCCTTTTCTGAGATTAGAGCCAGCTGTTATCTCATTTTTTGCAAGCAGTTATTTCTTAAAATTAAAATTGCTATCTTGGCATTCTGCTAGGCCTGGGACTTTCCAGGGCAGAGGGTCTGTTTAGGGCAGTTCCCCTTTTCTGCATTAGCAAGCATCGGCAGATGCATTAGGTCATAGCCTCTGGGTTCCGCGAAACTGACCACCCCCTTCAGGGTGTCAGGTTGACCTCCTCCCAGAAGCCTCTCTGGGCTAGGCCTGGTTTGGGCCTAACACCCTCCTACCACTGCGTTACCCCTCCTTGCTGCACCACATGCCCATTCATGCACTAAGCAAGCATTATCCCCACCCCCCCAAACACACCTTCCATTGCCCATACCATGCACTGTGTTTCCCTGCTCCCTGGGATGGGTAGGAAGTAGCTGCTGGAGAAGGGAGTGGGAGTCCAGAGCTCCAACTGCTGTTGCAGCCGCGAACGTGGGGCTGCAATATGGGGGCTGCAACATGTAGCCTGCTTGCTGGTTGAACAATAGGTGTAGTGGTAAAGGCCAAAGTGTGTGTAAGGGCAAAAGGGTTGTAAAATTTAGTACAAGGGGTGGTCCTTCTTTGGGGTGGGCTAGGTGTTTGACTGTAGGGCCTGTGGCAGTTACAAAAGGAGTCCAGGACAACTGGCTGTATTTTAAGGAGGCCCTTCTAAGGGTGCAAGAACAAGTTTCCCAGCGTGACAGAAGAAAGGGAATTGCAACAGGAGATTAGTCTAGCTAGACAGCAATCTCTTAAGGGAGGTGAAACTCAAAAAGGAACCTATAAAAAGTGGAAACTCAATTATAGTACTAAGGAAGAATATAACAGCATTACATGGGCATGCAGGGAGAAAATTAGGAAGGATGAGGCACAATTTGAGATGCAGCTGGCAAGGGACATAAAAGGCAATAAAAAAGGATTGTACCAGTATGTCAGAAGTAAGAGAAAGACCAGAGAAACCATAGGTCCCTTACAGAACGCAGAAGGCAATTTAGTTATGGATAATGCAGAGAAGGCTGAAGTATTTAATGCCTTTTTTACTTCAGTCTACACACATAGGGGCAGCTACCAGATTACAAGTGCAGCTGGCAGCAAAGATAGGGAAAGAGACAGACAGCCTAGGGTAGTAAAACTGTTTAGGGAATATTTGGAGAAGCTAGATGTTTTCAAGTCAGTAGGCCCAGATGGGATGCACCCTAGGATACTGAAGGAATTGGCTGAGGTAATTTCAGAGCCATTAGCTAAGCTCTTTGAGAACTCATGGAGGTTAGGTGAGGTCCCAAATGATTGAAAAGGGGAAAATATATTGCCCATCTTTAAGAAAAGGAAGAAAAAAGGTATGGAGAATTACAGACCCTTTTCTCCTAAAGTAACATGGTCTCCTGACCCCTGTTACAGGGGTAACTTGATAACAGTCTTCAAATACGTGAAGGGCAATTACAGATAGAATGGAGATGGGCTTTGGAAGAGTCACTCATTAAACAAAAAGGGGCTCTGACATCATTCTGTTTGGAGCAGGTGCTCCACTAGAATGGTACAGGAACGAAAAGCTCATTGGTTAGCATCTTTGTCCCTTTTTTCTTGCTGCTTCAGGGAATCTCATCTGCTTGGCTTCTCTACCTTGAAATACCATCAACGGACCTTACTCTTATGCCCTGCCAGGAGTCTGGCTATCTGTTACTGGTTCCCAGGAGGCCCCCTCCTTCCCTATTGTTAAATTCTTGCATGCTTATCCAACCTTCTTTTCCCTGCCTGGTAGTGGACTTTGTCCTTCTCATCAGCGTCTTCCTGTATGTCTGCATCTTTGATCTCAAGCAGTAGGAAAAGGTCCAGAACAGTTGCATGGGGCTCACTGTCAGCCTCACTATCAGGAGCTGCCCAAGGCTTTATTTTCATGTGATAACTTTTAGTGGCAGTAGGAACCTTAAACAAGGTGCTTCCTTTATCGAGTGTCACATTGGTTTAAGTGCCTGCACAGTACAACAGAAGGGAAAACCAGTAGGCAGGGCATACTTTATAGGTTCATTTTCTCTCTAGAAGCTGAAAGTAGGGAAGTGGGGGAGGGACCATTTAAAGAGTCCAAGAAAGTGCAGAAGTCTGGTTGGTCCAGTGGTCTCTGGGTTTTGGGAGATTTTAGTTTCATTATTTCATTATTTCTTTCACTACAAATGTCCACTGTGACCTTGTATGAGTCACTGAAAACTTCTTGGGCCTTGGTTGCCCATACAATGGGAACAATAGCACTTCTCTACCATACAGGAATATTGTGAGGATACATTAAAGATTTTGAGGTTCTCAGGTGCTACAGTGGTGGGTATAAGCCACCCAGGTACATAAGCTAGCTAT